TCATCAAAGTATTGCAACTGTGTAAACATTGTATCTTCATAATCGGAATGTTCTTGTATAACATCTTGTAATGTTTCTCCACCAACACTGGTATTCTGAAGTAAAACTTGATATTCTTTCATTTGTTGCAACACACGGTCATATTTGTTCCGTGCAAGCCTAAGATAATTTTCCAATGCTACATAGTTAACTGGAGTTTGTTTACTTATGTCATCACATGTGCTAATCTGCCGTGATAAATGATCCCTCAATCCTGTGAGGGTTATTTGGACATTTTGACAGTAGACATTTTGGAAGTACTTGTTAGTCGTATAGACTACACTATAATTTGAGTGGTAGACCTGTATCAATGCTGGTATCCGCAAGTTAGCCCATCATTATCACTCTTGGTTGGTACAGAGACACAGGTTAACACTCAAAGGTGAAATGATTATAGTTAAATTGTACTAATGTTATATTGATATCATATTGACAACACAACTCGGGTTGTCTTAAATACTGCATAAAAATATGTACTTGCTAGGTTGTAATGTATGTTCAACTCTAGACAAGTGTAAAATTCTTACCCTTACACCAGGTTAGCACAATAAATTAGACTAGGTTGATGTACAACACCAGCCTAAAATGTTCTACCCTTGTGCAAGAATTAGTAGTAAATGATGTGGCATGCAGTAAATGTTACAGTAATGGCAATAATAATGCAATAATTACAAAAAACATATATAAGTAACTTATAAGTAAAGTAGCCTCTTATCAACCTCTTGTAATGAAATGAAAAAACACAATTGTTCCTTTGGTGCTGTCAGAACAATAATAGTGCTTGTTGTAAGTTCTGTTTGCTATGAGATTGAAAAGTTAGGCTAGAAAATATGCAAAAATATAGCAGTGTCTTCCTGCTATAATGTGTGTAGGTAATATTGCACTATCACTATATGTATGTATAATATCTAGTTCAAAGAACTAAATATAATCCGGTTCCGTAGGACCAAACAATGTGGGGAAAAATTCCAGGCAGCTAATCTTTTCTTTTCAAATTGATTTAATAAAATAAAGTTATGTCTTATTTATTTTCTTAGTAAGTAAGTATTAATTAAGTGGACTGTATGTACTGGTAAACTGCCTGAAATCTTCTTACACACTATTGGGAGGGACAATTGGTAGCTTAAACCACTTTGTTATGGTCCCTTCTTAAACTACCAATTGTTTACCTTTAAAACTATTATTTCAGTTATTTCATTAAAAGTAATTAATTATAACTACTGCTACTGCTATAATGTCTTAGCTGTGCCAGTAGAATGGGCCTAGTAAGGCGTGTAGGTGTAGCCTCAAGATGGGTGTGGCCCTGCCTCTTTGTGCCACGTAATGGCGGCTGGAGGGAAGGACAAGGCTTGGCAAACAAGTAGTTAATTATGTGTATGAACCAACTGTCTGCTCAGATTCTTGAAGCTCCTCTCACAATTTACCTGTATGGGATGCAAGGAATTAATCAAAGTTCCCTAAACATATCAATTACAGGTATGACATGAACTGTGAGGGCTGTAATGGGGTACACGTACATTGGTTTTGGGGATGTCCTACGATATAACCATCTACCTATTCATATTAAACAGTGCACTCGAATAATATACAATACATGGTAGACGGATACAGTCGTTGTTGTGATGTTGTTAAGCTGTGTTGCTGGTGTTGACACGTAAATGGGGTGTCTAGCTGTTTACACCAGTTAAGACAGCGTGGTATGCTCATCCCATGTTTGTTGATATGTATGTATGGACGCCTTCCTCTCCGGGCGACGCTCTTATGCTCTGGTTCCTCACTCAAAGTAATTTTACGTTAACAAGGGAACCTAGCTACTATTTGTTGTAAATAATTATATTCAATCTTAGTGATTACTTTTTTGTTAACTTTAGAGACTAAACTAATCTATTAACAATGTTTCATAATGTAAATATACGATGACTTTGATGACGTCACGGAGTCTCCCATTTTCCATCCTGAAGGGAGTATAGACTAGGGGAGACTGTGTTATTTGTGTGTGTGGTTGTGTGTGTGTGTCGGTTTCCCGACAGAGAGAGAGAGAGAGAGAGAGAGAGAGAGAGAGAGAGAGAGAGAGAGAGAGAGAGAGAGAGAGAGAGAGAGTGATAAAGACAGATATATCAACCGTTTACTCAACCCTTTACTCAACCTGTATATTTTGTCTAAATTACAATGGTTGTGCATTTAGAGCACTGTTAACGAGCACTTCAACCTCACAACCCAATGTTATTGTTGTGACAAACAACCTGAGCGCTTCACAACCTGTAAACTGTTTACTAAACCTAAACTTTCAGTAAATGTAAATACTAGCAAAGGTAAGTTTTAATAACTTTGATGAGATGCACGGGTTTCGTCTGTACTTGACACGTCCTGATAAGTCTTCATGTACTCACCTATTTGTGCTTGCGGGGGTTGAGCTCTGGCTCTTTGGTCCCGCCTCTGAACCGTCAATCAACAGGTGTACAGGTTCCTGAGCCTACTGGGCTCTATCATATCTACATTATAAACTGTGTATGGAGTCAGCCTCCACCACATCACTTCCTAATGCATTCCACCTGTTAACTACTCTGACACTGAATTGTCCTCACCAATCAGCACTTTAACTATCAGTGCCAACGAGGACGTGAGACCTAACAGTCTATTCTTCCTTAAACAACCCTAATAAAAGTTGAGAATGGAGGTGGCTTCTACAGCTTCTTCCTTCGGTGCTGACCTACTCCGTACAGGGTATTTCAAATCAAATCAAATGTTTATTTAGGTAAGGTACATACATACAAGAGATTTTACAAAGAGTGATGGATTTATAGATAGGACTAGTACATACAATGCCTAAAGCCACTATTACGCAAAGCGTTTCGGGCATATTTCCTCACATTCCTACGACTCATGTGGGTTTCCAGCTTCCAACTGTGTCCTGCTGTCCGGCTTTCTCTCATTTTACAGACGTTCCTCTCTGTACGTCACAGCCAGGTGTCCAGGAAGTCATTATGCCACATTACAGCAACGATTCCAGGTGAGTATTTAACTCTAGTTTGGTCAACTGCAATGATGCATCGCTGGGGGAAATCCTTACACCTGTTTGTGTGGGGGAGGGGGGGGCGGGGGGAGAGGGGGGTGTTGAGGTAGGTATGGGGCGAGGGAGGGGGGGGGGTGTTGAAGTGGGTATGGATGGAGGGATATGAGGACAAGAAGCTGGGATATGAGGACAAGATGCTGGGATATGAGGACAAGATGCTGGGATATGAGGACAAGAAGCTGGGATATGATAACGGGGTTAAGAAACGGTACCCATCCACAGGGAGCCATCGGGGATCGAACGCCGATCCTGCAGGATGCGAGGCCGTCACTCTACCGAACCTCTTGTGTTTAGTCTCTACTCCACAGTTTCAACAATTCACGGTGACAAAAAGGAACGGAAAATAGAGATGAGAGAAAGAGGAGAAAGCAAAGGGGGGGGGGGAAGAGAAGAAAGAGGAGAGAGAGAGAATGGAGAAGAGAGTAGGTAGAAGAGCAGCTCCTCCACTGGTTAAGACAGGAAGCCAGCGTACGTTCACTAACGTGTTGGTGGGGGGGTTTGGGGGTCTTGTAAGGGGGGGGGGTGTTGGGGGTGACTCACTGTCCACACCGCCTGGGGGCACCGCTGCCCACCCCGCCTCCACACCCCCCCTCCAGGCTTGCCCACCACCGGTAACCCACCCACAGGAGACTGTCCTCAATCCCCCCTAAGTCACCCATCTTTCATGCAGGCTGGCCCATAACCTGCCCACCGTACACACCGGTCAAGGTTGCCCACTACCCACCCCACTGAAGGTAGCCCACTACCCACCCCGGTGAAGGTAGCCCACTACCCACCCCGGTGAAGGTAGCCCACTACCCACCCCACTGAAGGTAGCCCACTACCCACCCCGGTGAAGGTAGCCCACTACCCACCCCACTGAAGGTAGCCCACTACCCACCCCACTGAAGGTTGCCCACTACCCACCCCACTGAAGGTAGCCCACTACCCACCCCACTGAAGGTTGCCCACTACCCACCCCACTGAAGGTAGCCCACTACCCACCCCACTGAAGGTAGCCCACTACCCACCCCACTGAAGGTAGCCCACTACCCACCCCACTGAAGGTAGCCCACTACCCACCCCGGTGAAGGTAGTCCTCTGTTGTATCCCTTCATACACACACATGATAAGTATTGCACTATCTAACCGGGAAATAGAAAGGCAGGGTTAGGTGGCACATGTAGGTGAGTACACACACACACACACACACACACACACACACACACACACACACACACACACACACACACACACACACACACACGAGCGGGCCACGCGTCGCCCCCCCCCCCCAATAGCCACAAGCTAACGTAAGAACTTCAATGTTCAGTTTGAACCCTCGCCCCTGACCGCTCCCCGCCACTACGCTCACTTTCTCATCCCAAAACAAAAACAAATCCACCACAGCGAGCGATCTATCTCATCTCTATGAACCACCAGTCTGCAAACCTATAAAGTTTTCCTATGTTCATTCTTGCATTTGAAGTTTTGAAGTTAGGGACAAAGGGGAATAGTGATAATGTGACCTAACTTCTGGCGCGAAGAGGATTTGTTTACTACTAGTCTGAGCGCAAATCCCGAACACGTGCACTGCTGCTTCCTGATTGGCTGTCACTACCGGCCCATGAGAACGCCCCGCCCACTTACAACTTACTCCTATTTCCAGAATTTAGAAGGTTTTATTTACCGTTTTATTTATCATTTTAAATACATATCATTTATACCAGGTAAGAGAAAATATTAAATACTGTCAATGAAAAATAATATTTAACCTTTGTATATCATAATAAAGCAGATAAAAATATACGGAAATATATTTGGTGAACACTCCCGCGCGTGGCCGGTGATTGGCTGGAGCATGCGCGCGCACTTGTTTCTTCATTAGGTTATAACCTGTTACACGAAGCATCCTTCAGTTAGTTTACGTGGTGATGGTATCGGAGGCACACGTACTTCGTGTAGCGGAGCGATCAGTGTGTAGTGCACAATGCTGAACATACTTATACATGGAGCTGTGCCATTTGGCTACACTACTGAAATGAATAACATGGATTTATTTGTGACAGATGAAATGTATTGGGAAAATCTTCAAAATCGCAGAGGTAAGTGATTTTTTTCACGAGTTAATGTATGTTTTAGAGTTTGCTGAAAAGGGTATTGTTGCCTAAATGTTTCCACACATGTGTGCTACTACAGCTTTAGCTGAAATGAACAACAGTGTGAGCGTCAAATGGCATTCAATAGCTGAGGTGTTGACAGGTGCATTGCTAGACATTGTCGTGAAAATTCCGTAGATTTTGTCGAGATTTGTTTTTTTTTTAATTTTACTATGATACAGGGCCATGTAAATGTACCTAAATATGTATATAAAAAATAAAATTAGTATGATAGGGGACATTTTTTAGCATCACGTAGTTACTGAAAGCTTCTAATCAGTATGAGGGAAATTGTGTCAAAAATATTTCATGTCTTAAAGATGACTTTGAATTCAGGTGAATTTTTAGTGATTGAGGAAAGTTGGGATTGAGCAGGTCAACTGGGAGCGCTGAAGCAACATCATCTCTGTGTCTATGTGTACTTACGGTAATATTCTGACTATATTAGGATATTCTTGCGAGAGTAAACTTAGAATACCAAGTTGTGAGGATATTTTCCTTAAGAGATAGCGCCAACTTGAGCGACCGTCAGCTTGAGCGCTCAGCTATGTCAGAAGAGACAACTTATACTCCACTGCTGACTTGGTAAATTGAGACATACTACACGAAGTACCAGGCGTCAGATTGAGACATATTAAGCGTCACATTTCACTGTAAAGGTTAAAGAGTTGATAAGACATGTATATATTTATCATGAAGTGTGTGTGTGTGTGTGTGTGTGTACTCACCTAATTGTGCTCACCTAATTGTGCTTGCGGGGGTTGAGCTCTGGCTCTTTGGTCAAGGTGTGTGTGTGTGTGTGTGTGGTCATATTACATGTGGCCTTGTCGCCTGGCTATTATTTGTATTCTGTCCTGCCTCATTGCTTGTTTGTCGTGTGGGTGACAACTGCTACCCATGCCTACACCTGACCCGTGGTGACCCCACGCTCGTTCCTACACACGTGCTGGCCAACCTTTGACCCCTAGTGACCCCCACACTCCTTGCACCAGCAACTGTTGCATCATTATCTCTGCGAATTTCTCACTTACGGTTAAATTTTTTATTGAAGTTAACTCACCTGGAACGTTTTTACGCACGCTTACGCTCAATCCGACTTAGTAAGCGCACACCCCTGGTTATATTTATAAATTCTTGACGACTAGAACGCATTTCCGCATGCGGTTTCCGTAGTGTGGATGAACTGAGATGATCCAGGATGTGAAGCACTGGGTCACCAGGGCAGTGTAACCGCGGCTCAAGCTTTATTATGCCAAGTTCAAAGTTGTTTTTGTTTATAAACAAACGAACATCTCTGGTGAGATCTGTGATGCTAATTGATAACTTAGACGGTAGAGTTAACTCTATTTTCTGTAGAGGGTTGGAAGTAGAGTTCTCTGTAGAGCTACGACTCTTTGAGCCGACAGTAGAGCTGTCCATAAACAGCTTACGCCAAGGGGTAAAGCTTGTGTAAAGACGCTAAAGTATATACTGTATACTACGGGATCCTGTATACTACGGGATCACCCTAGTCCGTGCTGCTTGGGACTTTTTGTTCCATGTAGCGAATTTTTAACAACAACAACAACAACAGCTTGCTGTAGTGAATGGTACTTAGGTCTATAATTTTTTTTAATTATGAGGGAAAAGCGCCAAGCCATTACGACTTTATTGCACAGGGAAGGGGTCAGGATAAGGATTTAGGATGGGACGAGGGAAAGGAATGGTGCCCAGCGACTTGGACGGTCGGGGATCGAACGCCGACCTGCATGAAGACGTGTTTGGTAAACTCGTCTAGTGACTAGTTTACTGCTCTACCCGTAAGACTTGCTGGAGCTCTTAGTTTACACTTGCCACCTCTCATTGTAACCTAAACTATGCTAGGCTAAGCCATCTTGAGATGATTTCGGGGCTTAGCGTCCCCGCGGCCCGGTCCTCGACCAGGCCTCCTTTATGTTACACACCCCCAAGAAAGCAGCTGCCTAACGCCCAGGTACCTAATTACTGCTAGGTGAACAAGTGCATCAGAGTGAAAGAAACTGCTCGTATATTTCCGCCTCCTACCTTACCTTGAGGTGCTTCGGGCTTAGTGTCCCCGCGGCCCGGTCGTCGACCAGGCCTCCTGGTTGCTGGACTGATCAACCAGGCTGTTAGACGCGGCTGCTCCCAGCCTGACGTATGAGTCACAGTCTGGTTGATCAGGTATCCTTTGGAGGTGCTTATCCAGTTCTCTCTTGAACACTGTGAGGGGTCGGCCAGTTATGCCTCCAGCGGGTATCGAACCCGGAATCTCAGGACTACGAATCCCGAGCGATGTCCACTCAGCTATCAGACCCCTTGCTAAAAAATAGTTTTAATCTAGGCTACGCTACAGCCAGACTATGGTTAGGCTAGACTTAAGCTAGACTACAGCTAGGCTACGCTTAGACTATACTATGGCTAGGCTAAAGCCAGGTTTTACTGTTGAGATCGTGCGTGGCGAAGTGGTAGGGAGTGAGGGGAAGAAGGGCTTTATAGCAGTAAGCTGCCGAGATAAGGATTGGAACTTGCCCACACTTGTTGCCGGGGTGTGACGGGGAGAGGTAGAGAGGTCGGGTGAGGCTGGTTGTGGTGGCGAGGGTTGTGGTTGTAGTGGCGAGGCGCTGGTTGTGAGTTAATGACAGGTTACCGGGTGCGGGCATATGAAGAGACCTTGAAAGAGATTCCCCCCCGGGGGAGGTTGGGGGGTTAGTGAACAGGGGTGGGGGGTAGGGGGAAGTGAGAGTAGGGGAGAGAGGGGGGGGAGGAGTGTGTGTTGAGACTTGTGGGACTTGGGGAGGGGAAGGGGGGGGGAGGGGGGAAGCGACTGCGTCCAATCTTATCTACAACGGACTTGGTAGTGTCACCTTTGGGTAAAAATAGAAACTATCTCACATGACTATTGGGGGACGAAAAAGGAATTGTATCCTGCAACGAGTGTGTGTGTATCCACTCATATCGTTCAGGTCATGTATACAGGGTTCAGCTTCAGCTCTTGGGTCCCGGCTTCCAGTGGTAAAATGTCTATTATAGTGGCTCTTGACCCACCAGCTACCTATCATAACGTATTCTTTTAACTATATAGTCTATAAGTTCTTCAGCTACCTTACATTCTAGCTTCACACACTGAAGAAATGCTTCCTTAACTCCCAAACTTATAGCTCACATGGTTTTCTAGATTCCACCTCTCCTCTCACCTAGATGTACATTCCTAGATGCGACTAAGGATAAGCTAGAACATTACCTCTATCCATCCTGTCATTCTAGCTAATCAACTGGTCAATTAATGTACTGCTGCTCATTCCTGGTATTTGTCACCTTTTTCATAACCCAACTCATCATTTCTGGCATGCATTCGGAAGCCAATATGGAATGGAGTCCGTAAGACTGATTTAATTATTAATTATCATATATTAACCTTACTTCAGACCCCAAGCATATGAGTTATGACTTGAGTGAAGTGCACTTTGTGAGGAAGAACTGCGCGGGTGAGAACTATTATCAGAGAAAGATCATAGAGATTAGGCTACTGACTGAGCAGAGAGCTAGGCTACTAGGCTACTGACTGAGCAGAGAGCTAGGCTACTGACTGACCAGAGAGCTAGGCTACTGACTGACCAGAGAGCTAGGATACTGCCTGACCAGAGAGCTAGGCTACGGCTGACCAGAGAGCTAGGCTACTGACTGAGCAGAGAGCTAGGCTACTGACTGACCAGAGAGCTAGGCTACTGACTGACCAGACAGCTAGGCTACTGACTGACCAGAGAGCTAGGATACTGCCTGACCAGAGAGCTAGGCTACTGCCTGACCAGAGAGCTAGGCTACTGCCTGACCAGAGAGCTAGGCTACTGACTGAGCAGAGAGCTAGGCTACTGCCTGACCAGAGAGCTAGGCTATTGCCTGACCAGAGAGCTAGGATACTGCCTGACCAGAGAGCTAGGATACTGCCTGACCAGAGAGCTAGGCTACTGCCTGACCAGAGAGCTAGGCTACTGCCTGACCAGAGAGCTAGGCTACTGCCTGACCAGAGAGCTAGGCTACTGCCTGACCAGAGAGCTAGGCTACTGCCTGACCAGAGAGCTAGGCTATTGCCTGACCAGAGAGCTAGGATACTGCCTGACCAGAGAGCTAGGATACTGCCTGACCAGAGAGCTAGGCTACTGACTGACCAGAGAGCTAGGCTACTGACTGACCAGAGAGCTAGGCTACTGACTGACCAGAGAGCTAGGCTACTGACTGATCAGAGCTAGGATACTGCCTGATGAGAGGAATCACTAACACATCAGTCAGTGGTCAATCAACATTACCCTCAACCACCCACCCTAAGGACTAATTAGGACCGACGGCAGAGTAAAAAGAGTCTGTCCTGCCAGACGTGACGAGCAGGGGATAGTTCTTCAGTAACTGGTAGAATTATCTACCTTGCGTAATTTGAGCTTGTGGTGGCTGACTGTCTCTTTGTCTGGCCTCCGTGGTGAGAGGAGGGAGGGAGGGTTCACGGAGGATAGGAGGGGGTAAGAGGTTGAGCGGACGGTAGAATTGAGAGGTAAGAGGAGAGAAAGTATGAGGAATGGGATCAAGAGGAAGCGGAGGGGGTGAAGAGGAACACGGTAGAGAAGGGGAAGAGCCAAAGGGAAGGAAGAGAAGGCAGATGGTGTGATAGTGAGAGGAAGAGAAACAGCGATGGAACCTGGAACTAAACGGGAAACTAATGTTTCCTTGGTGGATGTCGAGACCATTAAGGAAGAGTCACTTTACTCCCCGTCTAATGCCTTTACTCTAATTCCCTCCATATATTGCTACTACTCTGCACCCCCCCTCCCCCTTCAAGTGCCACTATCTTACACTTCAACAAGTGCCACTATAATAGTGCCTTCACCAGGGTCATGTAATGAAAGTGGCTGGCGCCAGGCGTAAGTTACAGCACCCTGTTCTCTGAAATAATACATAGTATTTTGACGTTTAAAATTCCCCAACGTTAAAAATATGATAAATTTAATATTATAAATCTGATATTATGATAAATAATACTATAGTATTAAATTTAATACTATAAATAAATACTATAAATTCCCCCCTGCGGCTCTCATCAATTGACGGGTTGTCGCGTTTTCTATCCGTGAGTCCATCGGTTAGATTCTAGCAATTAAGTACATCAGTTTAGAGACGTTGTGAGTGTTTGAGAGGACTGGGCTGTTTGTCCATTGGTCTGGTGCCACGGTCTCTGTGACCACTCAGCTCTGGGCAGGAAGGAAGCAACACGCAAAAAAAACTATATAGTGTTTGGGTGAACTAAATCGTAAAACATTTTGTACTGTTGCTTCTTTGTGTTGGGCAGGTGAGAGACCAACCTTGAGAGTGAGTGTCGTGTTACACACACACACACACACACACACACACACACACACACACACACACACACACACACACACACACACACACACACACACACACACACACACACACACACACACACACCTACTGCTTTTGACCTCAGACAGTCTCGTGTCATTTTTAGATTAGCCTCGCAGAAATACAGTCAAGTGTTAATGCTTCCTACATTATGTTTACGATAATATAATCATCAACGCTACTATAGCCTATAGTTTTGCCTTAGTCTAGGCCTATATAAGCTTGCATAGACCTAACCACAATAAATATACTGGTCTTCCTTGTGTAGGCAAGCTGGTACTCGATTCCCTCTAAACTTAGCCTAATACAAACAGTAGCCTCTCCTAGCAAATCAAACGGGGGCTAATAATAATTAATATTTCTATACTCCTAGGCATGCGATGTTCAACCACTTGGGCTGGACGGTAGAGCGACGGTCTCGCTTCCTGCAGGTCGGCGTTCAATCCCCGACCGTCCACAAGTGGTTGGGCACCATTCTTTTTTCCTCCGTCCCATCCCAAATCCTTATCCTGCCCCCTTCCCAGTGCTATATAGTCGTGATGGTTTGGCGCTTTCCCTTGATAATTTCCTCCCTTCTTCCTAGGCATGTGAACTAACAGCAGTGACTAACGGTATACTAATGACCAACAGGGCTGCCCGCGACCCTTCCAGACGTCATTCTCAGCAACACGCCTCCACCTTCGCCTCTACGAAGAGCCCAATCGTATCTCTCCTTCTTCCCTGAAAAGTCGCCCCACGCCCTTCCTGTTCTCCCCACGCTCGACACGCCCCCTGCCACGCCTTCAGACCCTACCGTTGGGGTCGCCCGCGCCGCCTCCGTGGGTAGGCTGGAGGAAGGAGGTAGGGATGAAAGCGTGAAGACCAGTCTGGAGCACATCCAAGAGGTACGACGCAGACTCCAGAGTGATCATCCACACCCTCCCAACACCCTGCCCCAACTCTCCTGGCCTCTCCCCCGCCCCCATCGCTCTCCCCAACGCCAGGGAGAGGAGAGCAGCCTAGAGGATGGAGACCGGGCCCAAGATGATGAGATACAGTATAGGAGAGTGGGAAGAGAACTTCGTAAGATTGCTGACCAGTTCCATGTCAGCAATGCCAAGGTAGGTTATACCTGCTTAACTCTGCTTACATTAACTTATTTCTATTCCCCCCCCCCCCCCCGAGTATTTTAAATGTGGTGCTTATGTCTCCTCTAATTTTCTCTTTGGGACTATTCTGGTAGCATACATCTGGACTTTCTCCAGTTTCCTTTTTGTTTAACGAGATATGGACTCCAGAATGGAGATGCATATTACCAGAATTGGTCTGACATACGTGGATATTCAAGATCCTGAATGACTCCTTATTCAAATGCCTGACGTCAGTTCCTATATTAACCAAACTTGCAAATGCCACTGATGATGTCTGGTTGATGCGAGCTTTAGGCGACAGGTTCTATGTGATATAAACCTTAATGATCTTTCTTTTGTTTGACTCAGGGGGGGGGGGGGTAGTTTTACCAACCATTTGGTACCTGGTGGTACACCACCTTCTCCCACACACACACCTTTATTATGTTTTATAATTTTTCATTTCATTTATTTATTGATTTCACCGTTTTCGATATATGAGTATTTATAGTTGGTAATCATCTTGGCAATGCTACACACACACACCATTTTAGTAACAAACTTGGCATGTATATATATATATATATATATATATATATATATATATATATATATATATATATATATATATATATATATATATATATATATATATATATATATATATATACATAATATAGTATAGTTTGCAGCTTTATTAAACATGTTAATCAATGATATGTCTTTTCTTCCCTCAGGTGAGCACGAAGGAAGGTGATCAGGAGCCAGCAAGTCTAAGAGTGCCTGTGGCTCTGACCAGATGTGTCTCAGCGTCCATCCTCGCCCTCATCTGGTGGCGGCTCTTCAACAAGTTCCACTGATCTCCAACCCGGCGTCATCCACCCTATTCTGCAGTGGATGCTTCTGGGCCTCAGTATTAGACTTTCAGCTGGTCTTATCAGAGTTCTTCTTCGGCATTATTGTGTTGAAGAACTTCTTTTGCATCTTCAAGATGTTATGCGCCTGTTCTTTCGTCTGGATGTCCCCCAGAGGCTTTTCTTCAGGAGGGGAAGACTTCTTCGCTTCCCCTGGTCCGCTGCTACCGCTGTTCTCCGGCATATTCCAGTGTTTGGATGTTCTACCTCACGTGAACTTCTGGATCCAGCTTTTCAACCTCGAGGGTTCCGTCGAACCTCAGTGTCTTGTTTGAGGTTTATATGTCTATATAAGAACTCGAAATTATGGACCTTTTGTGCCATTTGACTAAAACTTAAATTTTTCTAAATGTAAAGTTATATTGGATGAATAATTTGGAATAAATCCCGGTGAGTCCGTATCGCCAAGGGACCAGTTCTGTAATGTTGTAATGAACAATATATAATATTTTGAAAGAATTTAATCGTGCACGTCAGTGATTATCTAATTAAAACAAATAATCACTCCTTTACATTGGTCCTACCTTGTGTAACTTCTGAAGAAAAACAAATTGGTGTATTGTATAATTGGTTTGAAAGTAATGAGATATATAACTTCACAGCTGCTGAGAGATCCTCCCCCAGCATCCCCAGCATCAGGGGGGTTCATCTCCCGAGGTTTCCAACCCTTTATCCGCCACTACCCTGGCGTCTTTCACTACTAAGTAGGCTAAAACTGGCTTCAAATTACCCCTCCAATATCCACCTTGTCCTCAAAGAAGAAAACTTTAACCAGCCCTCTGTGTTCTGAAAGTCTCGACACCATTGGTACCTGCTTGATGGGGTTCTGGGAGTTCTTCTACTCCCCCAAGCCCGGCCCGAGGCCAGGCTTGACACTGTGAGAGTTTGGTTCACCAGGCTGTTGCTTGGAGCGGCCCGATTGGTCCGGTGTTGGAGACATTCACTAAAGTTCAATTCACTGCCAACAGTTTGGCACAATTTTGGACGAGCCAGTGACATTTCCCTTTGGAGACCATCTGTTAGAAACCTCGTTCACAGCTGGTGCAAGAGTGGCTGTCAGTGTAATGAAGAATTTCCCTTTTTCAGTGAAGACTCTGCCGACGATGCTCTCAAGAGTCAGCTGTGTCGGGGTCGAGTGCATTTGGTCTCCTCAAAACTTGGTGTAGCTTTATTAACAAGGTAAACGATGGATCTCATTCGCCACTAGTATTTGTCATCACCGCCTTGACCACGTGGTCTTTCCAAGAGGAAGGTCGTTTACTCGCAATGAGACCTTCCACTTGAGGGGTGAGGTTGTATTAAACCTTCCATTTGAGGGGTGAGGTTGTATTAAACCTTCCACTTGAGGGGTGAGGTTATATTGAAACCTTCCACTTGAGGGGGTGAGGCTGTATTGAAACCTCCCACTTGAGCGGTGAGGTTATATTGAAACCTTCCACTTCAGGGGGTGAGGCTGTATTGAAACCTCCCACTTGAGCGGTGAGGCTGTATTGAAACCTTCCACTTGAGCGGTGAGGCTGTATTAAAAGGCAGGATTTTGATCTTTATACTGTATTTAATGTACCTTTTTTGTATATATGTATTGGCAAACTGGACTCTAATCTTGTTAAGATTTCAACTGGCGATTGGTTTTGATTTTTTCCTGTAAATATAAAAATGAAGATTACTGAATTCTTGCGTCCAGTGTTATTATATTTGTACATCACAACCCGCCCTACAACCTAATCACAACGCCCTTAAACGTTACTACTTTGTTTCAGCGTTAACTTATGGACAAAGGTAACTGAGACCGTTGTGGGTATGTTGGTTAGGAAGTTTGTTCACTGTGTATAATGTTTATTCAATACTATCTTATTCATTAATATTACGTAAGTTAAACTAAGTCCTCACGTGGGAATAGTTCTGCCAATATTTGTGGGCATTACCAGACCAAAATCTTGCCTTTTCGCTTCTGTAAATAGCCTAACTGGTGCTCTAAGTCATAGTTTAGTTTAATTAAGTTTAATTAAGCAATATTTCTTCTTCTGGACACAGTGAAGCCAATTCTGACTCGCTTGAGGCTTCATGCGAGTTGAGGGCCACTGAAATTAATGAACATTGAACTCTAAATTGTAATCACTGAAACTGAGTGATGCTTTTTGTGGATTTTTTTGAAGTCGTTTTAACGGCTTAACGGTTTTAACGGCCGTTGTAACGGATATCAACAAAAATTGAATTTGAAAGAATGGAATTACATTCGTAGGTTTATATAGTTTGAGAGTTAGATGAAGGTCTATCTGTGTCCACGGTCATCAAAGCTATAAGACGTGATAATTATATATGTGAAATTTATATCCAGACGTTCGGACTCAGAGCTTGAATGATTGTTCTGGCGAGGTCTACTTGTTTTTTTGTAACGCAATCTGCTCGGTGATTGGACGCGACGTCGTCGCCAGCTGATTGGTTGTTTCTGATGTGTGCTGACGTCAGCAAGCGTTGTGTCCGAGTCTGGTTCTTGTATAGCAATTATGGCACTTAAGAAAGGTGTAATAAGAGCCATAATTGCTCATCTCTGTTTTAGCCTGAGCTGACCTGGCTCAACAGACGGGGAAACTTCTCTAAACTGAAGTCAAATATTTTATGTATTGCTTTTTGCCTTTTGACAGTAGGTCAAAAGGCCTAAAAAAGGATAAATTGGTTGATAAAAATTAATTTGGTTCACTGTCAAAAGGCCTAAAAAAGGATAAATTGGTTGAAAAAAATTAATTTGGTTCACTATTACAATATTCGGTTTATATTTGAAGTTTTCTCGTGTTGTTTAACGGTGTCGCCAGAGACAAAATGCGCGCGTCTTCACCGAGTGCAGTTAAATGTAAATATAAATTGTAAAACAAACGTTTTGCTTATCTTTTTTAGTACTTAGTCTTGTAGTTGAATTTAAAAAAAAGTGCACTTATGCAATAAAGATATAGTTTCAAGTGCACTTAAGTGTGATGTTCTGGCGACACTGTGACCCACTAGTCAGCAGTATCAGCAATCAAAATGATCTCTAATAATTATCTTTTGCCAGCTTTGTGCAATTATTGTTTCCCACGCTCTTGTGTGTCTTCAAGCCGCCTCCACAACCTCTTAAGACTTAACACACAAACCACTAATAATTGTACCCGAATCGTAATTCAGATTTGTGTTAATTCTGATTCTGTATTTCCTAGCTTCAGTTAATTGTGTTCACACACTTAAATCTTGAAAGTATATGGAATGGTTATCAAGACTCCCATTAGTAGCTCACTATATAACTGATCATGGAACGCAAGGTTCAAGATCTATATTTTCAGCACTGAGAAGTTCTGCTGATAATTAACTGCCAATAGCTATCACTTGATGTACATAAATTAATCTGAAATCAAACTAGACAACATTGGAAGCTTACAAATCAGAATTTATATTTGAATTCTTAGCGGTGGAACGTGTTTTCATATGCATGTCCATATATATATATATATATATATATATATATATATATATATATATATATATATATATATATATATATATATATATATATATATCTAGGGAGTTGTGAGGGCTGGCTTGGACCTGAGAGCCCTTAAATGTTGTCAGCCTTTCCTCTAAGACGTCTCCAGAGGGCAGGACCCATGTCTACCTTATACTGTAATTCAGTCATCAATTCTTAATTACTTCTTGGAGGTCATTACCTTAAGACTAAGCCAAATCAAATTATTGTTTAATTCTGAGTTTTGTTGAAATTCGTAGCGTTTAATTGTTGTCAAAAAGAGATAATAGTCTTTCAAAATTTCCAGGTTACTAAATGGTAGCTTTGGAATTAATTTAAATATTTTTATATATATGGTATGACACTAAATTGGTTAGAATTGTGTTATCTGCCCCATGGAGTCAGTCCGGACAGGCTTGCTACTCTTGTCCTCCCCAAACACGCCTTTTTCCGTCTTTCAGTATATGAGGCTTCAACTGGCGCTTCATAGTGTATATATATATAAAGAGTAGATGTTAGATATTTGTAATGGTTTGATTGTGGTTGTCATCTGTCTTCGAATATCTGTCTTTTTTTTTAACTTTCTATAAATTTAGTTTTTTATACAACAAAATTATTCAGTATCATTAATGACCGAAGTGAATGTGTCGAAGCACAATAAAAAGACATTTTGTAGTTAGTTGCACGCTAAGTTTGTTCGTAGTGTAGGTTAGTGCACATTTGTGTTCACACTGCCAAACGTAGGAGTAATTGTGTGAGTTTTTTGCCATAGCCTTAGGAAACTGCCTTTATTTCTCAAAACAAGTCTTTTATACCATTGGGAAAATTGTATTTTTTCAATATTGTTTTTATACATAAAATTTAGCCTCTTGTGTATTGGAAAACAATAACTAAAGTTGGGATTTTCTGATAGTGTAACGTTCATTGCTCTTGAGTAATGACGTTCAGATGACCTGAAATGGCCTTCGTCTATAGGTTGTTAAAAGGGGCAGGTATCGCGTCCAGAAGTTGACCTCAATCGGTGACCTGAAGCGAGAAGGTGCCTAAGGATTAACCTCACCCTCCAAATAAAAAAAAATAATCTAATTTAATGATTTATGTATTATTTTGATATATAATCGAGATACCCCATAATGTGAATCATAGATTTTATGGCAAATGTATGTAAAGTGATTTCCAAAGATGTATACTTTTTGTTTATTTAAAAAAATATTACCTCAAAAAAACATGAAAAAAAGATCAATAAAGCGCAAAGAAAACGTGTTGACCCCTAGGCCCCGCCCCCTCCAGGCCATTATGGTGTAAATAAAGGGACCACAGCGCTCCTCTGGCCGGTGGGTCAAGAAGGGTGTTAGTGACCAGTGAAGCCTATGAGAAGACGCCCTTAGACGCTACCATACATCGTCTTGACAGGACACTTCTGGTCCTAGAATGGTAGAGTGTATTGGGCTCACCTTCACTTCACTGGTCATCACTACTCATGTCTTGAGTACTGGCCTCTCAAAGTGCTAAAATCTTCACTACCCATCTTTGTCTTTCAAATTTGTACATAATTTTCATTTTTGTATGCAATAAAAGGGATTATATGTATATATATGTGTGTTATTTTTTTCCATATTTCATTATTCAGATTGTATTAATATGCAGGCGATGAGTCACAATAACGTGGCTAAAGTATGTTGACCAGACCACACACTAGAAGGTGAAGGGACGACGACGTTTCGGTCCGTCCTGGACCATTCTCAAGTCGTCCTGGACCATTCTCAAGTCGATGGTCCGTTCTGGATCATTCTCAAGTCGACAATCGACTTGAGAATGGTCCAGGACGGACCGAAACGTCGTCGTCCCTTCACTTTCTAGTGTGTGGTCTGGTCAACATTGTATTCTTAACTGCCAGCAAGATATCTTTTCCTGTTGTGTGAGTGAGGTTCTGCCCTTAGTGCAGATTTTACAGAAAATTACCAAAACAATTTGTGTTTAAAACTACATAAACAAAACGATTAAACAAAAAAGTAAGGTAATATAATCAAGCCAAGGTGGGAGGAATTCAACCCTATT